TTCTTGACTTGCCTCTGGTCGAAATTTCCCACATATAGAAAAGCTAATTGCATCAATGTATCAATCATTCGCGTTTTAGCAGCGTATTCATTTGCTGAACAGACAAATTTTTCGTACTAATCGATGAGCACGAATATTGATCGCCTTTCTTCTAGAATCAGAATAAGGGGCGTGGCGGTAGTGTAGTCTACCGGAGCCGGCCGACGGTAGCTTATGCCCTTTATGGGCGTAGGGTCCATTGAACTAACCAAACCAAACATCCTTCACGATGTTGTATTGATTGCTCTAGTCGAAGGTTTATAGTGAAAAAAGGAAGATGGAGAAGTAAAGAACCTTCAGAACACAACGAATCTTCTCGTTTCGATTATCCTCCTGATGACGTTGGTAGGCCTCGGCTTCAAGTCGATTGAAGATTGCACCGCCGGCGAATGCGTACACCAGTACGAGTAAGAGCAGAGAGCAATGAAGTGTGAACGGCTTGGCTTTCTAGACAAAGAAAACGATTATTCCGACAAACTTATTGATTTTATTCAGTTATCTATATAACTGTATCTCATCTAGACAGGTAGGTATTCCTCTAACAGTCTACTAACAGAGCGCTAAACACTCCGCAATACCGACCGATACCTCAAATCTGCTCTTCTGCTGAAGGTTGTGCATATGAGGAAACTGAAAGTAGATAGCATAGAATAGCGTGATGTATTCTGTGCCGACTAAATCACAATACATGTGTTGATAAGGGTGATGGTGAAGAAATCTTGGGTGTATATTTAAAGGTGAAAATGGTGTAAAATCGGTGCAGAACAGAATCAACGTAATAATTTAACAAATCCGAGCAGTATCGACAAACATGGAAAAGTGGTACTTTGCGAAAATCTGGCCCTTTTTGAGCCGAGGGCTTTGACTGTGATGACGAGCGTGTTTAGAATTGCATGGCTATCATCACAGCACTGACTTCGCTAAGAGTGATGAGATTGGAAGCAGAAGAGATGGCCCAATTCCATTTCTGCACTTACATACACTGCAGTGCTAGCATAGGCTAGATCAAGTGAAGCTTTAGAAACAGACAGAGTTAAGAAAATGGGCCAAGAAGTCGTGTGATGGGCAAGAGCTTGTTCCAGGGGTTTCTCCCAAAAAGGTTTTAGCAGTCTGAGACTAAGAATGTCTCAATTAAGTGAAGGTGAGATGAAGATAGAGCTGGAGGGCGATCTGTACTCAGTAAGGCTCAGAACGAGTAGAAGAAGGTAAACCTGCATCGGGCCGCACGTTCCCCGCTGATGTCCTTATTGTGGTGGGGCGGGAAAAAGCGGTGTGCACGAAAATACGAGAAAAATGTGTACGAGGTGAAGTCACTGAGATTGGAGTTGACCAGTGACCATAAGGATTTACTATTGAAATACCATTAAAACAATATTGATTCGTCGCAGCACCCAGCTGAACCCACCCGTAGTGAGATAATGAGAAAAGCCTAGGACACACAATCAACTGGTGTGCGTCGTAAAAAGCTGAGCGTACATGGATGCGAGATGCCAGAGAAATACAGGTGTTCGTCGAAATTGGTGATATAAAGGCTTTGAGAATGATATACAACAGCGGTGAATAGTGTTTGCCGACGATTTTTCACGCATTACTTTCTTCACTCAAAAAAGTTATAAATATTAGCAGGATTTTTTGGGTCGTTAGAGGCTCGAATCTTCAGGTCTTAAAGGTTCGAGAGTGCCCGAAGACATAAATATTGATATCTGTAGGAATTTCTACATGGAAGTAAAAATGACAAGAGAAACTGCTGCGGCGAACAACTTTGGCCGCTACTGTATGGGCAGGATTACGGTAACGATAGGTTTTTAGGGTGGCCACCATTGCTGGATTCTACGTCGACTAACGCCTTACGCTCAGAAATATCCGATAACAAGTTAGTGACTGAGGAGTCATTCCTCGAAGAAGACATTAGTCATCGTTGAAAATCAGTTTAGAGACTCTACGATGATACTGACCAGTAGTTCAATAAAGCGTTTCAGCAAATCCTTGAAATAAGCCAATATAACCATCGAATTGGAGGATGTCGGGGTTGGAGGGCGGAAACGAGAAGAGAATGAATGTGAAACTCAGCATTACCCATCACCTTTATTGCCGGTTCGAGGCGCTCGGGAAACGCGCTGTCTGCCACACACGAATTATTCAAAAAACAACTGCAGAAAACACGGGTTTTCAAATTAAGGACGACGAAATTGAAATCACAGATTTTCAGTCTTCCTTCACAGAATTTCAAAGTTCATCTTCGTTATCAGCAACTCATGCTCATTTATCATTGTGCTATCACCACGCTCAGTCGAGAAATAGGGTCAAAATTGATAGTAAATAAAGTGAAGAATACAGTATTACCTGGATGCGAGGGATCTTGAAAAGGCGCAAGAACAGCTGAACGATCATGACCATCACACCTGGCCGCACTACTGGTGAAGAAGTGCTACACGATACATTCTAAAGTGTACAGTAAGATTGAGGGTAAATGTTAAGATAACTAAAGAGATAAGATATCGCGTCAATTCACACATAGCCTGAAGAGTAATCGTACTGGGCAGACGTGTAACAACAGCCAACGCTTGCACAAATTGGGTCGAAATGAGGAGTGGCCATCAATTGTTTATAGCATTTAGATTGTTTATATGTTCGGCAGAAAAAACGAAAAGCTCCGATAGTAAGTTTTTCGGCGCTGAGGAGAAGATGGAATTATGACGGAGAAATGCCCACAGGGGCGCGCCCTCATGACTCTGAGAGTTACTGCTTGATGGAGCCTCCTCAAAGAGGGATAGAAAAGTCACACTCCTCGGAAAAGTAATGCATCATATTGACGAGGAAAAACGCGGAAAAGCACTCCAGTCCAGGCTTGATGCTATTTTCTGATGAGAATAAGCCTAAGAGAGACAGAAGATGGTTACGCCTACAACTGGGCGTTCCAGAGGGGAACCATCTCTCAATGACTGTCCTCTTTTTGAACGTTACTCAAAGGGGAAAACCGACATCGCATCCGCTGAGATTTCATTATGTCGCCGAGGTACCCATATGGCAGCAGTATTTGGCGAACCGTTAGCGCCCGATAAAGTTGAACGACGAAAGCGAGGACGTTTGTGGCCAGCGGACCCGGAGGGGATAGAGTGAAGCACTCTGTGGCTCGTTATTTAACTTCTCTACTATCGTTTTTCCGCCGGACGGAAACTTCCGCTCATTTAAGGGAGGTGATTTCCAACCGTACTCGTCAAAGCTTTTTAAACGCGACCAACGATGAACCCTTAGTTTTAACGCCAAAAGAGGCATCATTGCTCCTTGATGATTGCTCTTTTTGACAGCTGGCTTAGCGGGGAGTCGGACTCCGAAAGAAATATACAACTGCTATGACTTGAGGCTTTTGAGCATCAGGTTCACTCGAACGCATAGTGCAAGCCCGGAGCACTAAACCCGTTAAAATATTTGTTTCTGGTGACATGCTATTTAAAGATGGTGTTTTCGAGTTGAATTTTCAATCTCAAAATCATCCTTACTGACAACTGCACTTTTTCTCGAAATTCGTCATATCGACTTTCTCACTTACTAAGTCAATCACAAGTGACACTTGAACATTGCCCACAGCTGGCTCAAATAACTACATGAGAATTACTAGTACGGAGGGTAGGTTTCAAGAGAGATTCACCAGCTCATCCACAATTGGAGTACAATCGAGAGAAGTAACAAATAGTTGAATTTCTTTCAACTCATTTTATTTGTAACTGTTGTTTCAACGCTACAGTTCCCATTGCGAATGTTTCATAAGAATGCTGGGTCATGATCTAAACTTAGGCCCCAGGCGGGACTCGAACCTGCACCTCTCGCTAACCGAGCTAGTGCGCTACAAGTCACGCTACCGGAGCAACGTTTGGTCGTAACTCAGCTTTTTACCTCAGTTTTGTTCACAAACCAGCATTATTGTGAAAGCAGTGAATGCTTACGAGGAGCGAATTTCCTATAAAAGCGATGGCTAATTCTGAGAAATTTTCAAGAATTTTCCCAAGTTTTTTTCGAAGGATTTCTGCTGTAGATGATTTTTGCTATCAAGAATAGCAAGGTGATTTCAAGAGGTAACAAAAGAGGCAACATGACTGGAGATCGACAGCGCATCGCTGCGGCAACAATTCGAGCCTGAAGCTACAAAGGAGGCTAATCGGTCATTCCTCAGAGCGATGCAGTGTACCGCAAGGGCGACGAGCTCAAGGACCACTAGGCTAGGCTAAGCTGTGAGCATCCTATTCATGCGGCGCGCATAGCTAAGGTCGTCATCCATTCAGCAGCTACTCGCTTCCTAGGATTCATACAAATCGAACAATTTTCATCTATAGCTTATACGGTTTCTTCAGGAACCTGTGCTACAACACGCCTCGCACCTAAAATGTTTGCGCATGGCACATGCGACTTGAAGCCGCCTACAGCCTTTGGCCAGAAATGCGATGGGTAAAAAACGATAGCGGAATGTACTGCCGAAGGTATTAATCACCAGAAAAAAGTACTCCGAGGTCTTTTGGATAGAAAAGAGAGCTCTATATAAGCTCCCAAACAGGCCGAAATGGCGGCATGAAAGTAAAAGAAAAACCTTGACAGCTGACATTGACGAATGAGGTTGCCGATGAGTGTTTTAGGTTGTTCATTCTAAGTCCCTGATCCCATGAGATCGTCCAGCTCAAAGAACTGGGATATGCTTCCATGGGAGAGAAAATGGAAGCCAAGTTTTGATCCTGCGTTAAGGATCAGAAAAAAAGTTGGACATCATCACAAGTAAAAACCTAGTAGGGATAAAAAACTAACAAGCATCATATGTTCAAGAAATACACTTCAACAAAATATTCGGATGATTGATTTGAACAATGGAATAACGTTTCCCACATATAGGACCTTTTGACACTTCATGCTAGATTGACTTTACAACGAACGAAATTGTACAATATGTTTTATTATGATTGCAATATGAGATTCTATTTGATGTATGGCACAATGAGTCGCAACAGTTCCATGGAAAACTCCGACCCGAACGGAAGGTCAACCTAAACGAGATATAAGCCATGAAAACTAAGAACTGCTTGCAAGGTGCATGTAAGCTGGGGCTACAAGCATGGGATTAAAGGCAGTGACCACGATGGTTGAAGGGTGGTGCAGTCTTGATGACGTCATTGGTCTATAATAGACTACACCACTCTGCGCGCTGGGGGCGTGGTTGGGATCGCCCCTCAACGCCCCTCCATCAATAGCATTCAAGGACATCATCAAAACCGCACCGCCCTTTAGCCTTTGTAATCACCGCCTCTAATGAGTGCCAAAAGTGATAGGTGAGGAAGGGTTATGTGTACGGTAAAATTGAGGTTTGGAAGAAATGTGCCTACCGATTGGTCGATCCACGATCCAAATAAATTATACATTCGTTTCCGGAATGATGTCATAACCTAAACGGGCAGACTGTTCAAGAAAATTCTTCCAAAAACCTTGAAAGAGTCGTTTCGGAAATTTTCCAAAAAAGTTTGGATTTATGAACATCGACAGACAAGCGAACGGCATTGACATAAAGGGAATTAACGAAAGGATTTGAATTCTCTAGGGTTAAGGAAAAACGTTGAAGTTTGCTGCTGATGCAGGCAGAAAATGCTCTTGACATCTGACATTGGCAGATTCGACTTTCCTTCGAAAGGTACGCCGGTCGGGGACATATTCAGCTCAATATGACATGACAGCCCACCGGAGGTTCCTATTCTTCAAACAGTAGAGCTTAATGATTATTCTGCATTCAAAACTAGACTAATTTATGACAAAGTCGAAGCACTAGCCAGCCCCTGAGGGCATAGAAAAACACCGACGCAGAGCATTGGAGGCGGACGACGGACCCGCACACGATAATGGCTCGGTGAATCAGAAAGCAGTACAACCATGTGCTGTTCTTACTAAATCAAGATTATTCCCCTTGAGCTTGTTTTACCACGACGGGGATTAGATCCCACAACTGGAAATTCGAACCTATGGCGTGCCCTTCAACCCATTTTCTCACCCAGATTGTCCTGGGAATCCCTAATTTTACAGGCCGATGTCTACCCGACATCAAGCATACCCCGGTCGAATCCCTCTACCCGTCCCTGACCACCGCCCTCCCCTCCCTGACCATCACCCTATCCGTCCTTGATCACTACCTTACCGTCATGGCTGTTTCTACATATACATACACTGCGTTCTTACGGGTTGACCCCCTTAAATTTTGCTACGAGAGTGCTGGTGCTTTTTTGGAATGGTTGGCTGTGGCCGTTATTTCTATCAAGCTTATGTGGTTGTTTGACAATTTTCTTCATAGTAAACCGATAACTTTTTTTTAGAGAGGCGGTTTTACCGTTTCATGTATCGGGCGTGTATAAAAGGTTATCAATTTTTTCTCACTCGATCCAGATTGATAGGGAACCTAGGCGAAGGCTCGGGAAATATTTGTAGGCCGCTCAGCCGAATGATTACAATAAAGTCGTTGTTCTTCGCCTTCTCTCCAGTACCACAGATGCTCGGGAGCTAGAGTATCGTCTTCTTTTTAGGTGGTTAATAAGTATGCGGAGCACAGGTTTGCTCCATGTCGGCCGGCTCAACCGATATGCGCAAATGCGGTGGGGTCTTAGTGACGGGAGAAGGTCGGGGACTATAGGTAGTATATTAAAGATAGACGTTTCTTTCAAAACTGGGGCAGGAGGAATTAGGGGTGTATATATATATACGCTACTCCGCGAGATAAACTTGTATCTCAGATTATTGGGGAGTGAATCAAAGTCCGCATGAATGCGCGCTTCCGTGAGCGAAAACACGTGTGGTGAGTGAGTCAGCAGATGCAATAAATTTCTCGGATTTGATCGAAGAGCGTTTCTTTAGATTTTTGTTATAGCGATACAAGAGAGTCGCATGTATAATTTTTTCCTGTGGATAAATGTGCTTAATGTCTCTGCAGCGGGATGGCAGTGGCTGTTGGTTAGAGACCTATCGCGATCTTGGTTAGTCGCTTGTTTCGTTCTTTATAAGGTTGCTTGGTATGAGATCCGAGTGTTAACATATTAGTTCTCGGTAGGTATAGGCTAGAAAAAAAGAGGGTATCGGCGTGTATCAGCGGTGAAATCGCAGATTGTTTCAATGTAACGTAATTTTCGGCGTTTTTGTTATGGGAGTGGTGTATGTGGTTTTGGGGAGGCCACTTTGAATGGACCGAGTAAGCTTAAGAGATTTCCACTTTTGTCACATAAGTGTCGGCAGAGGACGAACTGCTCGAGTTTCTTCGAAGCGAGTACTCCATTTTTTCGGACAATGGATCCCTCTATACCATATAGGACTCTCTCTCACGCTAATGCGTTGCCTGCTACCTCTCTTGTACGCCTACTACGGCGAGCGATTTGGTTTGCAGGAAAATTGTTGGCGTTATTGTGGCGAGCACATGTATCTATAAGATGTTTCCATAGCGAATTCATTGATCTTAGTTGCTAAAAAGTTCCCAGCAAGTAAAGTCACGCACAGAGCGAAGTGAAAAGGTCGGCATGATTCAGGCGTGGGAGACGGAATTTCGTCTATGTGATAGCTTTGGCTACCCATTGCCAAAACGTATTATTGTGTTCATTTATGATTATTGGGGGTCACCATTGATTGAAAATTCGTGAACGTTTTTCGTTATAATAAAATCTCTCGACAATGATGTGTAGTCTTTATATTAACGGTGAAATAGTTGTAAGGAAGATACTTTTAATAATTCCGATCGAGATTTCTCCAGAATTCAAGTTTCAAGGTTTTTTCGTTATTGGGGAAACTATTGGTATGGCGGGGATTTTCAAAAAGACCAGCAACTTTTGGAAAAGCAAAAAATTAGGGTGGACCTAAATTCATGAAACGCAGTGTAGTATATGATCGTGAGACCAGTCGAGAAGCTTCAGCACCGCCCCCTATTCCCTCCAAAACGTTCGGCGAGTAGGGTAAATATGAATAAGAAGTGGCAAATCCTCTAATCTTCCATTACTCACACCTCTACCCTGACGTTTTAGCCAAAACCGCCGAAAATGCCGTCGGAAACGACACCCCTCCCGCGACCATAACCCATTCCCAAAATCGCAAATACCTGTACCAACGAAGCCCTGCCCTGAACAGAACCTGTATTTTGAAGATACCGTTCCCGTCCATATCGCTTATGTTACAGAAAATCGCGCCCCTTTCCTCTGTTTGTCAATGATGCACTTCAACGTCGTATCGATAGCGTAGTGGACAAGTTAGGTGCCCAAATGAATAGATGAGGGTTCAAGTCCCGAATGAGACGAAGCGTTTCACGCATAACCCTGCACCCTTCTCGCCACCGTATGCAGTAGTAATTTACAAACAGACAAATTAGATTTTTTTTGGCAAAAATTAGAGTTCTCACAGAGAAATAAGTCGTTTGCAGAGTCCCTTCGTTCACATCGCTATAGCACGAGGCCAACATATCATTCACAATAATCCTTCCATTTGGGGTGAGCGGTGAAAAAACTCCCTTTCGGGATGTAATCGAAATGTCCTGGAGTCTTTGCTGACGAAAACCGTTCTAAAATTCATAACATTTCAATAATAAATTCATTAATCAGTCAATATTTATAAACAAAAGTTGAATTACGCCCAAAAAGCCGTTGGCGGTAGCGGGTCAGCAAAGTCTTCTAGATAAAGCGAGGAAAGCGAATCATAAGATTACCCTCAATTTTGAATTTCTGATCAAACAGCAAACTAAGAATTTTTCAAGTTGTATTGATGTGTTTTTCAATTTGAGAATTCCAACACTAAAGATCTGGTTATTGCCCCTTCACCTTAACATTTTTATAAATATAATACTTTTTTTCAGTTTTTGTTTCTCATAGTTTCGTAACTAAAGTCATTATAAAAAAGCGCCTTGTTGAAGTTGTGATGACACATAGGAAAAGTAAATAATCTATGGCTTCATCACAAACAAATGCTTACATTTAAAGGTTTTGTTTAATAGCAAATAGCATTAAAGGCAGATGAAGGGTGGAGCGCTCACGATGACGTCACCAGAAATTTTTAGGACCCCCCCTCCCCCAAGGTGGTGATACGACCCCCTTTTCGACACCTTGACCACCATCATCGTCTCTATAGTACTTCATTCTGATACCACTCAACCCACCAAACCCCGCCCACTTTTTCCTCCAAAAATGCCGTCTCGAGCGGGGTATATAGTCACTCTGAAACGGTAAATATCTCCGAAAAATTTCCTTCTATTTCCGCCATTTCAACCCATTTCTTACCTATACTCCCACTACTTCCTTTTCTAGGAGGGTATATACACCCGCTGAAACGGCAAATTTTTATCCCCCTCAACTCGCCCAGCCTACTACCCACGAAATCTTAGTTTCACCTCAATCCCACACGTGATCTCAAGCGACAAAAGTGGGTACGACCCCCTCTCCAAGTTAAACCAAGTAAGACCCCCCGTTGGTAATTGTACCAACGTAGGGTTGACCCTGGTCACCAGGCGTCATCGTTGGACCAGACGCCTGAGAGCGCTAGAGGCGTGGTCCGGACCATCTTCTAATGACGTTCCAACAATCCCGCTCAACGACGTCACTAAAATCGCTCCGCCCTTCATCCACCGTGTTCACTGCTTGCAAATTTCATTTTTCTCATCAAAGAGCTGCGGCGGCATTGGTGCCTATTTTGAAGTGTTTCGGATGCTATAGAGGTTTTTGGATGGAAGCTTCATTCACGGCCCCCGATTCCTCAAAACACCAGTTCATTCCCTCAGGAACGAAAAAGGAGGAAGTCCGGGTTGAAACGTCGGGACGTGAGTAAAGTTCCTACCCAAAAACCTCTACGGCAAAAGAAAGACCTCAAAATAAATCTCATCGTTCTTAGTTGTCAACAGTTATAGTTCTTCAATAAACTGCTCACCATTCAGGGCAGCCTTCGTATGAAACGATTTAGGAACAATCTTTCAAACAAAATCAGGGCAAAAGGTGTTATAGCCAGAATTTGAATGGATGCTCATTATTTGTTCAGTGAGGAATCTGCCAGTAATGCTGAAAAAGTTTTCAGCTGTATGCTTTTCCACAGGAACGAAATTCGAGGGTTAGTTCATGAATATGAGAAGCCCTTTATTCTGTCGGAATTTCATTAGAGGCCAGTTCTTCACCGGAAGTCCATAAAGAAATTAGTTGCACTCGTCATGGATTTGAAAAGAAAACTTTCACGACGACGTCTCTTCGCGATTCCACTTCTTCCCCGGAAATTATTAAAAAAAAGAGCGAGAGTGGATAGATTTTGAAATGACCTTATAAAGAAGGAAGACACAATCGCCAACTTCTAGCTCTTCTGCATAGACAGCTTGACTGTTCGGCGGAAGCGCATCGACTCGATCAGCGTAGTAATCTGAAAAGCAGAGTGTATTTGTGCAAAAGGACTCAACCCAGACATAACAGCATCCAGAGCTGCACATAAATCCTTTACGTTTCATTCGATTGAGCGCGTAGGCATGTCGGGGTGGAGGTGGTATAACAGCAAGGGGGACTCGCCAGGAGGCTCATCGCGCGGCGAGAAGGCCGAGACGTAGATGGGTCAGCGGACGAGTTGCAGTGCGTACTGTAGTGATTTTGTGTCAAGGTAAATAGAATGTACCGTAGCACGTTCACATCACAAACAAGGGCTGCGACTCGTCCACTGTGCCGTCTGCGTCTCTGCCTTCTCGTCGCAGACGGGCTTCCCGTTGGGTACCCAGCGGGAACTGAGACACTCAGTTGACACATGAGCACTGCCCTAGACACTACATATCTCTGGTAGAATCTCGTACAGCTCAAGCATGCCTTCAGATTAATTGATCTGCACAAATCCATTCACGAGCGGTATTGCATTCAAGTACTGCCGCAAGCTCAAGGAGGACTCCACGATAAGGTCGAAGGTTGTCAAGGGGAAAAATACCCTGTCAAAAGGGAGGCGGACCCTTCAAGGGTGTAGGACGATGTGCGTTCCGCAGCAAAGGGCTGCGCCTAACGGCTGGCAGGGCCGAACCCGCGTATGCATTGCGTTGTTCGTCATCACTGGCCTGAGACCTGCACTCGAGAGCGTGGCTGGGCATGGGTCAGTCAGTTTTAAATTTGCCATTCCCAGAGAGAGTAAGTTCAATCCAACAGAATACGAATGGCCTCTTCTGAAGTATTGGTATGTGATTTCCACTTTAGAACAGACATTTCATGTCCTGGAGCCTTTCGACAGGCTCCTTGCTAATTTATCCGTAGAACTAGAGAGCACTCCTTCGGGCTACCCAACTCTATGAATCCACTTTTTGCCCAGGTCATCCACCCTGGAGCTCCTCATCCATTGAACGTAGGCAGAGATACCCATTCTCCTCGTCCTGAACAATGTTTTCTGACCATGGCAGGCGAAATTAGGCAGAATCTCAGGTTTTCTTCCATATTACACCTTTGTTATCTGAAGTATACTTCAATTGAGCAGATTACATTTTACTTGGGAGTCTACCAACGATCCATTTTGTCGAAATGGAAAGCTTTTCGAAATACACACATATGCACTCGCTTCTTTTGACAGACCCCGCCCACGTCATAGGCCACGCCTCTGATGATGTTCCCACCAAAATCTTCGAAGAACGGGCAAAAACGATCCACTTTTCTTCTCAACTGCAACGAGGCCTCCTATGAAAGTCTCAAGTACTACATTTTTGTCACGATCACCATCGCTCAGAAAAAAAACATGGTCCATACGAACCCGCTCTCTCCCACCTCCCCCCGCACTTCCAAAAACCAAGATGACCCCTCCCATCAAACATGAGACAACGTTTGATTGATCCTGCTCCCACCAGAAGTTGCGTCGAGCGGGGCAAGTGGGAGGTTGGTGTGAATGTTAAACTGACGAATTCTCGCACAAATCCTCCATGGAGCACATGCTTTCCACTACTACAACCTCCAATCAAAACCCTATCTGCCGACAGAGATCAGGACCAAAACCGTATTGTAAAATAGGTACCGTCGCATTTGTTCCGGAATATCAAATGCCGAGGTGTAAGTGCGAGCATCTTGCCGTAGTCGGTCATAATTGTGACAAATTTGGTTATCACCTCCGGCTCGCGGTGAATCCACAGTGTCATTGGAGTGAAATACGCCTGAAAATACAATTGAATACTACAATTGAAGCAGACAAGAAACTAATGACCATATGTTTCTCCTGTTTACGCCAAAATTGGCCATGTTGAAAAATATAAGTGCGAGGCTCAGATATAACCCCATGAAATATACGCAAAACCGAAGGGCGTATGTATTTTGATACATGTCACAAACACCGCCCATTTCACAGACACCGCCTTGTGGGCTGAATAAAATGCTCAACTAACAGTTCAGATTGACAAAGGACAATAAGAAGGTCCCGTGTGTCAGCTCAGATACACCTTCAAGAGACGCACTTTATCGACATAGAAGCGTACGCAGAGAAGGGTTATTATAAAGGCTGGTGGGGTCGCAGGTTTTTAGTATCAAACTTCAAGCTGAACTTTGATTTTGGCTGTTGACCGGTTGAGATTTATTGTAGTAAATCCCCATTCACAACAGCCCATTACTGCTTAAATTTGTGGCTTATTAGCCTCGTGGGTGCGATTCTGGTGGCGTGGTGCGAAAGCATTTCAGCTGGGCGCAATAGACCCGACAACAAGGCAGATGGTCAGTATCATTTTCCCAGTACTTGGCTATGTTTCCAAAAAAAGTGTGATCGAATTCATTGGGCTGCCACAGTGTGCCGCAAATAGCTCAGGGCCAAAGAAATTTCTTGTGCTATGCCTGCCATACAGTTATGTCATCTTCATGACTGGTCAGTAGTGTTTTGTTTTTGAAGCAACAACCCCAAACAAAATTGGTGGGGTGGCAGGAGTCGATAATGAAGTTGTGGATGCCAAATTAACTGAAAATGAAAAAAGAAGCGAAGCAAACCGCCCGTATGCCATTAACACGTAGTTTGAGTTTGGTCCACTATAGCAAAAAAAGGAAACCGAAGGAGCGGAGATCAAGGGCTACTTTTTTTGCGAGTTCGGCTGCTGTAACAAACAGACACTGGGTGCCGAGGAGAGAGCAGACACGAGAGAGCATTGTGAAGACGAGACGCAGACGGACAGCGCTGCATATGCACTCCGTTAGGCATGCACTTCAGCTTGTATGATAGGACGCTAGCTCCTTTGTTGCGGACTTTCAAGCCGCGTAAACGGCACATTTTCAACTTTTTCCATTAACTTCGTTCTCTCAGGGGAGTGTTTGATCCATCTATGTTTTTCTTGAAAGAATGCGGCGTCAAATGAAGTTAAGAGGGTCCGAGGCAGGGTCAACGGTCACGTTCGAACATTTTCTTGGTTTTTGCGACCCCTTAGCTCTCGAGGGGGTCCACTTGCGACCCCCTGTTTTTGTTAATAAGAGGGCTAGGTATGAATCCGTTGCGCCAGAAAGCGTCTGCGCCGCCGCCACAGAAAGCGTAGCGCCTGCGTTGGAGCGCGCCAGGTATCATCCGGACGCTGTGAGAACTGGACGCGGCGAAGAAAAAATTTTAGAGGGGAATAACTTTCTTGGGACGTACTTTATTGAGTTGTTGAGGTAGATTTTAACTGTGCCTAAGATGCGCTCTCAGAAAACTACAAGGATTGCCTAACTCTCCGGAAAGCACTTCTGTTGGAAGTGGAAAACCCAAAATTCTGAGAAGGCGCATCTTCAACTTTGGAGGCCCATAATATCTTTCTTATGCGACATTATGGAAATCTGTAAAAAAGTTCAGGAACTTCAAATTTTTCTCTAATAAAACAGTATAAAAAGTAGAGAGAGATTGATGCCAGCCACTAGCGGTGCGTGCTATCCGAGGCATGAACATTGTTGTGGCATACCAAAAAGTCAGATTTCGATTAGTTATCAAAGAGAAGCAGTTTTAGGCAAATTTTACGGTGTTTTCCTTGCACGAATAGAGAACATGTTGAATGGGACTCCTTATGAAAGGGATTGACCTCTCGGCGGCTCAAACCTAAAGTTCTTTGTGAGACCTATTTTTTTTGGGAGGCTGTTCTTCCAATGACATTATAGGAGAGCGGAAAGATCTCGCGATCCTTCAGAAATGTCTTTACACCCTCTGCAACAAGCTCTTTGAGGAATGTTATCATTCGCTGAGAAGCTCAAAAACTCGCGAATGTCTGCTCAAAAACCCTGGGAAACATGTGGTTCGAACGTGTGATTTCTCGAAAATAAATTTTGAAAAACGCATTCGGTTACTTAACTAAAATAGAGCAAATCCTGTTACTTTCACCTCATGAGAAAGTGCATCACAGAAATGAATCAATAGAATTGAGTATGGTCGCTGAAGTCAAAAAACTCGCTTTTGCAACCGAAAAAAATGTTCAAGACGGACAATTTTCGAAATAAGGGCGACAATCAACTAAACC